TAAGAATAAGAAAAGAATAAGAATAAGAATAAGAATAAGAATAAGAATAAGAATAAGAATAAGAATAAGAATAAGAATAAGAATAAGAATAAGAATAAGAATAAGAATAAGAATAAGAATAAGAATAAGAATAAGAATAAGAATACAGTGGTGATAGTAGTACTACTACTAATAATATGTACAAACAAGTGATGCACAATGCAATTGCTCATCACCCGCTGACCGATGCCCAGCCTAACCCCGAGCAGTCCGGCCTCCTTCCCCCGGCTAGCCACCCCTATATATTGTTTAGCATGACGTCAGATGGTATGGAATACCCCTTTGGCTAGTTTGGGTCACCTGTCCTGGGTCTGTCCCCTCCCAGCTCTTACTGCACCCCCAGCCTGCCTGTTGGCAGGACAGAGCAAAAGGCTGAGATGTCCTTGGCTGGTATAAGCACTGCTCTGCAACAATTAAAACATCGGGGTGTTATCAGCACTCTTCTCATCCTAAGCCAAAACACAGCATTCCATCAGCTACTAGGAAGAAAATTAATTCTGTTCTAACTGAAACCAGGACAGTTTAAAGGGCTGTTAGAGCACACAGCTATAATTTACATCCATACAGAACCCATGGCCACTCTCAATCACAGCAAGTCTATGTTAAAATTATCTCTGCACAGTGCAAGGCTGCCCTCTGCTGGAAAATAAATGTATGTATATATATGTATAACAGTGTGTCTGTCTATAAAAGCACTAGGTATATTTCATTATATTTGCATTTATTTCTGGATATATATAAAAGTGTAGGTATATGTGTAAGTGTATACACACACATATATAAATATATATATATATATATATACGTATTACAGACTTAAACTCACTGCATATATCATAGAAGGATATTTTATCATTTAGCGCTTCCAGGCTGAAAGGCAGCGGGCCACCAATCAGCGGGCGAGCGCAGGGCACGTGGCTCGAACAGCACGCAGCCAATCAGAGAGGCACGGTGAGAAGAGCGCTCCCCCCTCGCCATAAAATGTCGGCCCCAAATGTGTTGCACGGGGAGGGATTTCTTGTTCCCATGGCCACTGCAGAAGCTAGACACAGCTCCTTGGCAAAAGGAGCTGCACTTCCTTCTCCCAGAAGTGCTGTTGCAGAAGTTTGGCAGTGCAAGTGAGGAGTTTTTCCTGCAAATGCAAGGCAGTCTTGGCAGCAGCAGCTGAACTTGTTGCTCTGACCTGTTCAGCCTCGGCTGCTGTCAGCACTGTGGAGAAGAGCATCAGCATTGCCAGGGGAGATCTGGCACAGGCTGTCACTGTGCGCTTCCTTTTTGGAGCCATCTACACTGCTGGGTCTTAACCCAAGATTCAGCTCTTTGTCCCTTGCTTTTTTGCCTTTATTGCTGAAAACCATACTGCACACGTGCACTACTGTTTCTGTGTTTTCAGAAATGCAAATATGCATATACGATTAGAGGAAAGTAAAGAAATGGATACGTGTGTATTAAATAGTGTGTCTGCGTAGAAAAGCACGGGGTATGTTTACTGATATTTGCATTTCTGTGTGCATATACATACACGTATCCGTACACACACACAGACTGCAAGTATCGTAGATCGGCCTTTTCACATTTAGCGCTTCCCAGCCCAAATCAGCGAGCCACCAATCAGCGAGCGCACGAAGGGCAGGTGGCTCGAACAGCATGCAGCCAATCAGAGGAGCACTGCGATATGAGCACTCCCCCCTCACCACAAAATGTCGGCCG